TTTCCAACTGATTTTGAGCTAAAATTCCACAAAACTTCACATGATATTAGGATTAATTAACATTGTTAATTCAACTAGGATTGCCCGAATATATTTGTTACAAATCCAAAAAAAGGTGATTCGGTTTGAAGTGATTAGAAAAACATCTACTCCAAAATACATGAGTATTATTCAATAAAAGACATAAATGAAATCATCTTTCTACCAAATAAGTTTGGTTTCGTATTGAACAACATTGTTCAACTGATCAAACATGTTTATCATCACGTGCGATTGCATTGATCTTATTCATGCACGTAATCGATTATTTGTGGTGTCTTAAACTCGAAAAGAAACAAATTCACTTTGCACTCTTAGCATAAAAATAGGGATTTGGATTTACAACCAAATGGATCCAAATTATGAGAAGAAATGGAAAAGAAAAAGAGAAGTGAATGATTGGAGAGAATAGTGAATGAAGAGAATGCATGTGGAGTGAGCTGTCTATTTCATTACATTGGTATATGTGTCTCTTCTCCATCATCTGTCAATTTGGTCGCCATGCCAGTGAAGCCACCATACCCTGACAATATCTACACACACACTTATATATGTTTTTGGACAGTGTGTGTGTGTATGTGTCTAAAATTAACCAACAGTGATCATTGCATTTGGTTTTTGTCACCTTTTAACCTCAAATTATTCTTAAAAATCAGATTAAACTAATGCATTATCGTCTGATTTATTCAGCAACATATAATATATTTTTAATGTTTTTTTTTTATTATAGAATCTGAAGCACCACAACAAGTATCAGCAGCAGAATCAGGTACTGAAGCAATAACGACTGAACCTGATATTACAACAAGCAACAAAGAACCGATCTCTTCTTCTTGATCTTTTGCATTTTCCATTTTCCATTTTGTACAATCTTCAACATTTTTACCTCTCTCTTCTTCTCTCAAAATGAGGAAAAAAACAGCTAATTCATTTATTTCTCAACCAAAACTATGACTTGAGCCCCAAGAAGACGACTCAAGACTACTGTCAAAACTTACTCTATCTCTTTATACTCTTGTCATAGTTTTCTTCTCTTTTTCTGACAAAATATAAAAAAAAAATGAATTCCTCATATTCATCTAATTCGTTTTATTTATATCATCTAATCATTTCAATTTTATGCTCTATGATCCATACTCCTTTATATCCTCTTTTTTCGGATATGATATCCAACTAATATCTCATTATCTTGGGAGCTTCAATATGGATATTGTTAGTTTAGTTTATCTAATCAAAAGTGAGC